CTGGGCAGCACCTGTAGACAGTTTGCATCTCCGTACTGTATGCCTGCCTATACACTGTATAATAGCCTGTCCTGAGACAGAGGGAGAAAAGAGACAGAACTATAATGAACAGTTTCATTGTATGTAGATACTGAAATAGGCCTAGTAATGACAAATGAGACATAAAAATCACTGAAATTAGCTACACGAAAACAATATTTAAACAAAATGGACCAAAATATTTGAAAGCAAAAGATATTTAGGCTATTGTTTATTTTATGCTCCGGAAATAACGTAATTATAGGAATAGCCGACAAATGATACAGTTGATGCTCTAAAGCTCGTGATGCTTTCTGAATCTTCCGATTGCTGAACTTCTTTTAACCTGGTAAGGCGTTATAAAACCGCGTCCATAATGCGCAAAAACGCTGAAAAGCAGCAAAAGGCGGCAAAATAGTCAGACTTCCATCTAGTTCATTTAAAAGTAGCGTATTGAACCGCAAAACTGCGTTCAGTTTGAACCTGCCCGAATCGTGAACGAGTCGTTTGTTTGAGGTGAATCTTTTCGATGAATCTGTTGAACCAGTTCACAAGATCTAAACGATTCACTGTGCTATCAGCTCTAGTCCAGCCAGGGACCGGCAAATTTGATGATCTTTGAAATGTTCATTGATCCTGAAAAGGTCATATTATAAATGTATTTAAAATAGCTATTGTTTGGAAAATATTTAGTTTCTATTGTGTTACCTTATGATTTTTTCTACTCCCTACTGTACTGTACTTATTTAGTATGTATTTATTTATTGATCAAATCGATTTTTATTATTTATTATTGTAATCACATTTATTTAGTTAGTTGGTTTACACTGTTACTCATTCACTCATTCAACTGTGAAACATCTCTTTTAGAATTGTCTCTTTCCTGTGACAGATTTTACCTGTGCTCAGATTTAAAAAATGCTACTTTTAAGCTATTTTTCTTCAGTTTCAGTGTTGTTATAGTTACTATGTTTTGCCACATTTTCATAGCTATAGGTCATTGATCAGCAGGTCAGTATTTAGCATGCCAGATGAAAGTAATATGTTTAATAAGTATGTGCTGGTTGATAATGTGAAAAGTGTTATGCTTTCAGAGGGCCAATGGTTGGTTATTATAACTCCTATCAAATCACCAATGTGTGCTAGTCACTTAACCCCAGATTTTCAGAAAAGAGCTCCTAGAAATCTGTGTACTTAAGTCAATGGAAAGCATCTGCTGTGGTAGTTGGCCAATTTGACGCTACTAAATGGAAGGAGAGCAAATCTCCTAAAACCCACTGATTCTGACCTAAAAGATAATTGCTTAGGGGGAAATAATCATACGAGGCAATGGTTTAAGGGCCAATAGTTTCAACAGGGAAACAAAGTAAACAGTTGTTGTTTGAGTGTGTCTTACCTCCTCTCGTAGCCCATGCACCAGCGTTGAGAAGAGCAGCCCTGCCTCCACACCTTCACCATTCGCGTAAACGCCTGAACGCATGGTTGCCTCACCCCCAGCATAGACATCTCCTGCTCCTCACACACATTCGGCCTGAGAAATAGTGAAAATTATACTATACAAAAACCCATGGAACCTAAAGGAATAGTTCACCCAAAAATACAAATTTCCTGAAAATGTACTTAACCTCAGGCCATCCCAGATGTAGATTAGTTTGTTTCTTCATTGGAACAGATTTGGTACCCATTCACTGCAGAGGATCCATTGGTGCATGCTAAATTTCTCCAAATATGTTCCAATGAAGAAACAAACTCATCTTGGATGGCCTGGAGATAAGTACATTTTCAGCCAATTTTCATTGTTGGTTGAATTTTCTTCAGGACCGTCTCAACTTCTGTCTCAAATTGATGGCCTGATCCAATTTTTGTCTTCCTCAGTTTGGTTATGTAATGTTGCATGGATTGTTGGATAGCAGTTCGCTGTGAAATCCAGACCAGTGGGGGCACATTAATGGTAAATGAATTGCACATAGGGGGTGCTCCTGAGCAACATCATGAACTATAAAACACATGCAATAACATGAAAAACAAAGTCTTATTTGCGACAGGGCCTCGAACATCAAAACTCCTTCTTTAGTGATGATGTCATAATTACCCATCCTGTTCACATGCTAAAAAAAAAGAATTGTTAATTTCAACATAAATGCTCACAGAAGAACATGTATGTGGGTCAACATATGTGTACCCTATTGTCAGCTGAGAGTATGCAGACTTTTTTGCATCCTTGCACAATAATTTGTGCAAGGATGTAACCACATAAGGACTTGGGGACTAAATGTAATAATTACAAACCCTAAATAGTGGACAAAGGGAAAGTTGGCTTTTTAGAGTAAAAAGAGCATTTATATCTGTGCTGGGTCTTGATGTTCTGCATTTGTTTATTATGTCACTACACGGATATGTAGAAAAACTTTAATCTTATCATGCTATGGCATTATGAGCCATTGAGAAAATAAATCAATAATCTGCTCTTAGATCTTGTGTCTGCGGAAACAGCTCATTTTAGGATGTTGACACAATGTTCTCACAGCTTGTATAGTCTGATGCTCCAAGAACACATTGAACCACATGTTCAAGATCCAAATGATCATTTGCACCAACACACAAATGTAACTATAGTTATATTTAAAATATTAATATAAATACTGATAAATAATCAAATAACTGTGTTATAGACTAAGACAAATCCTACAGCTGAAAGATTTTTTTTTTATTATTTTTATAATTCAAACAGGATATGCTGTCATTTATGAATAGATTTTCCAATTGAAAATATACCTGAATATTTCCAATGGGAGGTTTTCTCACAATTAGACCATTTTAGGGATAATTTTGGTCATAAAGTATAGCTAAATACATACACACTCAACTTTTCTTCACTTCTCCTTACAGCCATATATGTCAGGAGCTTTTCGTTGATTTAAACCTTTCTTATGGTTGTCCAAATGTTAGAGCAGCCTATTCACAGCTCAGAGTATGGAATATTGCTGGGAATGCATTTCACCTTCATAAATAAATCAGGATATTGCAGAATGATTTGTTATAATCCATCTGTGACAGTCTGCTTCTTCAATTCTTGATTTTAGTTTTATAGACTGAGTCTGGGCTCTGCCTCAGAGGGTCCTGTTCTCTCTCAGGTTGCTTCCTATGACCATCTGGGCTTAATACAACACATCCTGAGTTCATTAGGGGGCTCGCAGATAAACTGCACAGTCACACACCGGATCAGCCCTGGAGTTAGACTGTCAGCGACTTACATACACTTAACATATTTACAAATTCTTACAGTGCAGTATCTGAGTCCATTTGGAACAATACATTTTGTTTAGATAAACGTAGCCTATATGTACAAATTCAAAACATGATAATCAAGTGTTTACAGAATAAATTCAATTATTTGATGATCATTTATGTTTGAATATCATTTCACATTTCAAATGGACTCTGGCACTTTTGGCGACACCTAGAGAGCAATTAAATCACTACAGAAATAACGCATTATTTAATTAGATTAATTGTCAGTGAACCTTCCAAATTATTGTGCTATACCAAAACAAAGAGCTAACAGTAAGAAACCACGTGAATTAATTATTGTTTGTTATTATTAATAATAGGAACATGAAACTAATTAAGTAATTAGTAGGCTATGTATTGTTATTTATTATCATTAATAGTAATTTGAACATTAAGTAATTTGAAAACTCACAGATAAACATTTCATAAGCGAAATGGTTTCAGTTGGTGTTACATTTTCTTAAAAACACTGGTAGCACATTTACTATTTAACCTGTAATGAGTACTTAAATAACTAAAAATAACTTTAATCACTAAAATATATAATGCATGTTCTATGTGAACATGAACATTTCTATTAGGCTACTTAAAACGTCAAGACATTACTTATTATTTGAATGTACATTAATGATCATTATGATAGCCTATGTAACATGTAAATTCTTATTAATGTTATTAATTAAAGTTATTTTAAAGTGCTTTCTTTGATTATTTTAAAATAAAACATAGTTTGTTTTGTTTTACACATGTTGGAATTAAGTTTCAGATAAGAATATCCCGTGTGCGACTTTTGCGACCACAAAACATGATTCAAAATAAATATAATATAACTCACATGTCGAGCTGCAGGTCCAGTGATGCTGCGCCGTTCAGAGACACGATCACACCGCAGAGGAGAAGCGTCACGGAGCAGCACATCGTAAACTTTACAGCATCCACATGCAGCAAACACTCTTCAGGGCTTGTGGTCAGCAGGTTTCAGAGGCCCACTGTCCACTTAAAAGTGTCCGATCACTTCATTATACACGAGTAAGGTGCTGTAGTTAATAACTTTATGAAAGCACTAAAGCTTTTCTCCTTGCATCGAGCATCCTAGAAGTCCTGGAGCTGGTATCCTCAACTGGGAGCTCACTGAGACAGACTGGACAATCGCTCAGCGCTCTTCCAAGCACACACACACACACACACAACCGCCAGGGGCCACGATGGAAACACGACGCCCCATAACATTGCTGTTGTTTCTCAAATTCTGTGTGTTTTACATGTATGAATATTCTTTTGCTTTTGTAATACTACAATACAAACCAATTAGATTTTATTCTACTAAATGTAAATGTTTTGTGTTGCGCCTAGTCATTATGCATGTGAAGTAACAGAAAATGTACCATTTACCACAACTTAACGCGTCTAATCAGCTGGTGGATCGTGCTTTTTAATATAATCAAAAAGTAAAAAGAACTTTAATAGAAATAATTATTAAAAAAAAATGTTCAAGACTTTTCCATCACAGTTGTAATTTGTGTGTTTCCTGTTTTGTGACTGAGGGAATGCAACCCACAATAAACTTAAACTGAAAATTATGTACAGACTGTGATAATTAACAAACTTTCGCCAGAAGAGAAAGTGAAAACGCGTAACTTTTAAATGACATACAGAGAGACTTTTATTTTGAAAAGTACTTCTTACGCTCCTCGTCCGCCAGCTTCACGCATGTCTGGGTTGATCTGGTCTGTGCTGTACTGCGGGATGATTGTCTATTTCTAAACCAAAAAAAAATCAAAATAGTCGCATTTTACGAGAGCATTTCACTTTAACGTGTCTAATCGGTCGGCGGATCTGATCTCGGTGAAGGTATGTGTCTGAAAGATTTGTGATGTGGTTTTCGGTCATGCTTTGGCCCTTTATCAGCTGTCACTGATGTGCTCTGGGGCCCTGATGTGCTCATCACCTATTTCCCGTTTTTACGGCCCAAATATGACACATTAAAGTACTAAACCTTGTTATGTATTTTCTGTTTGTTTTGAATTGATCCACCCAAACATTCAAAACTAAATATTACAAGTGTTTTTACTGTAGTAAGTTACTGCTGCTGTCAGTGCTGCCTTGTATCCAGCATAAATGAAACCAAAGAAAAACGCCCATATTGATGTTGTTTTTTGTTGTCTGACTTTCTGAAACACAATCCACAATAGCATTCAGTAGGCATGCTCTCTAAAAGATTAAACTTTGGAGCAGCCAGTGTATTCAGTGGCATTTTGCTTCCTGAAATAGTTGATCTCATGATCCAACCACAAGCTACAGATGACGGCTGCTTTTCTTTCTGTGCTTCATTTTAGCCTGAGGATCTGGGCATGACAGTGTGTGCGTTGCTTATTTATCTATATTACATAAATGTGGTATTATTTAGTTACCACACAAGTTACCAAGCTTACAGTCTTATGAGCTCTTTTTGTATTGGGGTAAGTGGCACAGCAGGATTCCGGTTTTGCTGTATGAGAGATTCTGATGCATGGTTTGCTGTTTGGAGGTATTTCGTTTTATAATTTGGAAGGAAATATAAGGGATCGTCTTTGGATTTTTCTTTGGATTAAGCATAACAAAACTAGATCATTTAGAAATAGTGTTGTTATTGTGAACTGAAACTAAATCTGTTGTTAATTGTTTTTGGTAATTGAAATAAAACTTGAACAAAATATAAATATTAGTTGAAAAATGTAAAACTAAACTAAAAATTTAAAATGAGAAATGCTGTCTTGGCAATAAGTGAAAAAATAAATAAATTGTATTATAATTATAAATTAAATAAAGTACTAAAATGTACTAAAACTGATATAAAAATAGATTAAAGCTAAAATTACAAAAGCACATTACAAAATTACTAACACTTTAATTAAGATGAAAACATAAAAATAAAAGCGAGTGTAAAATACTAATAAATGCTATAATAGTATAAAGATAATACTAAAACAATAAAAATAACTATGATGACATATGTAATAAAATGCAAGATGGATATAAAGGACCCTTTTCAGGATTGTAATCTGGCTCCTAATTTGGGCTGCGTTTCTCACCATAAAATCATAAAATAAACTGATCTTAGAGACCATTGGTGGCAATGGTTCTACGATCTACTTAGGGTTACGATGCTTTTGGGAAACACAGTCCTGGTTTCTTTTAGCTGTCCTGACGTGAAACATTTTTCAGTACAGTACAAGAAAGAATTAAAAGAAGAAAATATCAAAACTTTGTGTGCATCCATTAAAATTGTATTTGATTCTTAGAGGATTCCTATTTGATCCCATTTGATTGGTTTCAATGTATGATAAAATTCCAATAGGAATTGTGCACGTTCCTTTAGAATTTTTTTGATTGATTGACATGTTTTGGTCCTCACATCACAGCCCTCCTCCTCTTTCCCTGTAGATGAATGGAGCAGCGTTCCCCTCTCCCACAGCCGAGATGGCGGAAATGAACCGGATCCACTGTGAGCTGGAGTACACAGAGGGCATCAGTCAGAGAATGCGTATTCCTGTGCAGCTGAGAGTGGCTTCGTATGAGCATGAAGAGCAGGATCTTCCAGAGCACAAGACGCTCCACACGGCAATGATGCACGTTCCCCAGAGAATCGTTGTGGCAGGTACGAGATGGGAAGATCTTTGCACATTACAGTGCTTACACATACACAGTAGGCCAGCCCAGAAGTTGGCATCACCCTGGGCTGCGTTTCCCAAAAGCATCGTAATCATAAGTTGATCATAGCTCCATTGGTGATAATTGGTTCTATGATCAACTTAGGCTTATGATGCTTTTGGGAAACGCAGCCCTGGTTCTCTCGACAAGAAACCAATAGGATTTTTCCATTGGCTTTTGGATTATTGCAGAAAATACGCCCTGTGACCAACAAAAGTTCATGATACTCACATATTTTTTTCATCATGAAAAATGAGCACAACTTATATGACTTTTGAAATCTAAATACAAACACCAGAAATAAAAAGCTAAACATATAAATGGCTATAAATGAACTACACCACAGTCTCACAACTTTAACATCACAACTAAGCTTCTGACAGCTTTCACTCTATATTTAAATAAATAAATAAATAAATTCCTGAAAGTTTGAGTTAGAATAGTTTGCAGGAGTGTGATTTTAAACACGATGCTGTAATTTAGACTAGTAAGTTTGATGTATTTTATGTTGTAGAATAAAATGTGAAAATTTTGTTAAGCACAGACCTTTTTTAGACATTTAACCATAAACCCATTGAAGAAACCAAACAAATGTGTGATAAACACAAAAAAGAGATATAACTGAATATGGCCTATAAAAATGTCATCCCTGCAGCACTATATTACATACAAAATAACAATTAAAAAACGTAAAAATTCACAAAATCAAAAATCCAAAAAAAAAAAAAAATACCCCATAATTTAAATAAAACAGTTCTTCAGAATATCTTCTTTTGTGTGTTACATAAAAACAAAAGTCATACATGTTTGGTCAATTTCATTTGCTGACCAGTTGTCAAAGGGTTGAATATCTGATCTTTTTTTTTCAGGAGACAGTGATGACATGCAGTTTCCCAGAGATCTAGACCTCATCCAGTCCACCCAACTGGAGTCAACACTGTCCCTCAAGACACCACCTCGGGTCCTGACACTCAACGAAAGGCCCATCGACTTTCTCGAAATGGAGCAGCTGAGCTCCGCCAGTCAGCCCAGCGAAGAAGTAAGTGGGACAGACTAGTTGTGTAAATGTGACCGGTAACGAACGTCACTAAAAAAAGGAACAACAGTGTGTCAGCTTGGGTTTAGTAAAATGAGGAACACCTGTCCACTTTCATTTTCTCTGCTTCACACAGGTGCGCACGCAATTCAGGACACGTAGAGAGCGCTCGGTCAGCGAGAACACAGGTGTGCATCACAATGGCCAGCTCGCTAGAAACGACTCCATGTGAGTGCAAAGCCACGAATACACACGCATACGTATTTCTGTTTCACCTCTGGCCCTCTCACTCCATTATGTGTTTTTTCCTTCTCCCTGGTGTCTCTCTTTCTCCCTTCATGATGCTGACTCAAAGGGGGTGAGTTAGAACCATGCATGTGTATTGTTTAGTTTCAAGCCCTTTCAGTTTGGCTTTGTGCTTTTTTAACTTCAGTGCATGTTGTTGCATGTACAGGAGTGGCACGACCGCACTTGTCAGTCATGGTCGAGACCAATTTTATCACAATATAAAACAACTTGTGATATTGGTCAGTGTAGTTAGAGTTGCTTTGTCAGTCAATTTCTCTCATGCTGTGACTGCTTGACAGCTTTATTCTAATCTATTGTTCTCTATTCTATTCTAATGAATGGCCACTCCTGGCACTGAGAAGCTGTTCACACGGAGGGTTTGTACTTAAAAAAATAGATCAGTCATTCTCCTTCAACCAGTTGTTTGCTTGTTTTGACATGGAGTTTTCTGATTGGCTTGTCTGTCAGTGAAAGTACTTAAACCCACCATTGACCAGCATCTCTTTTTCTTTTTCTAGACCCCAATAAAATGAAGACTAGTACAGCTTCTGCTACTAATCTAAATGCATCACGTCCATCAGCCAAACTGTGTTTTATCAAATTTTACTCTTAATTTAGTTTTAGTAAAAAACAACATTTTAACAGAATCATAATGTACTAATATGACATAATATAATATAACATATGCACACTACCGTTTCAAAAGTTTAGGGTCAGTACATAAGAGATTAATAATTTTATTTAGAAAGGATGCATTCAATTGATCAAAAGTGAGTGTAAAAATATTTATGGTGATACAAAAGATTTCTATTTGGAAAAAAATTATGTTCTATTTATCAAAGAATCCTCAAACAAAAGTATCACAGTTTCTATGAAAAAAATTAGACAGCACAGCTGTTTACAACATTAATAATAATCAGCATATTAGAATGATTTCTGGAGGATCATGTGACACTGAGCATTGGAGTGATGGCTGCTGGAAAATCAGCTTTGCATCACAGAAATAAATTACATTTTAAAATAGAAAATATCTCTGTATATAATATAACTATGTACTGTATAACATATAACATACTATAACTGTATTTTAATAAAATAAATGCATGCAAATACTCCTTGGTGAGCATAAAAGACTCAAATATAAAAATCCTACCGACCCTGAACTTTTGAATTGTAGTGTATTTAATTATTTAACAATATTAACTAATACAATAGCAATAAACAAAATTAACTCAATACACAAAATCGTCAATACACTTGTTCACCGTTACATCAGTAATTAATTACACAAAACCTGTCAAGAACATGTCCAAGTCTTAATTTACCTCAAAAATTAAAAGAAAGAACTAATTAATATTTGCTTAAAGATAAACGATTAAACGATTTTTTTAACAATTCAAAGGATATAATATAAAAATATTATTGTACTATACAATAACAAAATGTATATATGATAAAGTATTTTTAAATAAAACTATATGTATTGTTATATATAACCCTTATTCTATACAGATTATAAAATAACAAAAACTGTAAGCATGATGTATGAACAAATGTGCTTAATTAATAATAAAAAAAAATAAAATCCCTCAGTATTATGAGGCTGGTGAAATGTGACCTGGACATGAGATTCACCTAACAAATACCTGAGCTGTTTTTGATGTGCACTATTTGTAAAGCAGACCACCTTATGGATTTCAGATATGAAGTTGTGTCTGTTTGGATTAGTGTAGATGGATTCTATGGTTCAGTAAACAGCCTCATCGTTAGTCTGATGTGAGATCAGCCGTTTCAAATCTGCTTTTGAGGTTGTGATACTCCGAGACAGCTTTGTGTGTTTGTGTTGTTAAAACGATGAGATTTTGCTTGTTTGGGCTTGTTGAAGGCTTGTGAACCTTTTGTATATATGGTGAGGCTGTTGCCCATCTGTTGCAGTCTTTATTTTCTTCCTCCGACTTCTATTTCATTCTTTCTCCTTTTATTTCCTTCTTTCTGAAACCTAAAATTTGTTTGACTTTCTCTCTCACTTGTATCTCCTACTTTTCCTCTCTTTCAGACCCCTGAATCTGCCCTGAGAGACTGACTTTTGGCTAAATTAGCTGTTGCTTCACCGATTACCTAATCAGATTAATCCAGGAACAAAGTCCTCTACGACTGATAGACGTTCACGTGTCATTCTGATAACAAACTGATTTGGAGAGAAAATGCACTGACCGACAAACAATTCTCCTTTCAACTGCAAAGCACAAAACCATACGTATTAAAATTTTAGGAGGTAGTTTGTTAGACGACAGCTTTATCCCTGTGTTGTTTGCTGTTGGATGTGGACACGCTGCTTTCTTAAACTCCATTTCTTTCTCAGCCTCTCGGTTTGGGGTTTTATGTTTAGCATGAGTAGAAATGCGCACAAGATTTTATTTCTTTCTCTTTTGTTGGAATCCTTTCTTTTTCCCCTGAGCTTTTAGATTTCAGTTAAATTTATTCACAAGCAGTTTGTGGCATTGCTGTATAGTTTATAAAGAAATGTTTGTGTTCTTTACAAGTTTAATCTATATTGACAGCATTTGTGGCATGATTGCCACTAAAAAAAAAATATTTTTTTATAATTTTATTTAAATTAAGAAAAAATCACAGCTGTATTTTTGGTTACACGAGAACTTATTTTTTTTATTATACTTTACTACTGTATTATTCCTTAATATATACACAGACACCTTTATTTGATCAAAAATACAGTAAATAATAAAATTGTGAAATATTATTACAATTTGAAGTAACTGTTGTTGTAACATTTTAAAATGTAATTTATTGCTGTGATGTAATTAATTTTGCAAATGTCATTTAAGCTGAATTTCTTGCAGCCATTACTCCAGTCTTCAGTGCCATGTGATCCTTCAGATATCATTTTATATATTTCTTATTATCATTGTTTAAAACAGTTGTTTTTTTTTCTTTGGTAAACGATATTATGCCACAAATGCTGTGAATTGAAACAGCCTTAAATTGAATACAGAACATTCATTTAAATTTGGTTTCTGTGAATACCTGCACAGTTGGTATTCATGAGCTCATTTCCTGTGCCTTACTGCCCTGTGACCTGCTTGGCTTCTCATTAGTAGCTTTCAGAATGGCATTAACTTCAGTTTCACTGACAGGCACTACACTAAACTGTAGGTTTGTGTAAAACCACTGTCTGAAAATGAGACTACATTTTTTGTGTTTACATCTGTGCAGTTGGCTGGTTTACCATAAAATCATAATTTCTTTTGCGAGGTTTATTTGATTAGAAAATGTTGACATGGTTTGTGAGACAAAGACCACCTGCAGTAGCTATATACATATTATATACCAGTTGAAGTGCATGTTATTAAAGTTGTCTGTCTGTCTGTCTGTCTTCTTTTGTCCTTTCCGCTTCTTAGCAAGCCATCTCTTAGAGGGGGTTCAACCCTCTCTAACCCCCAGCATGACAACAGGTAACTTCCTCTCATCTCTTCCCTCTCATCTGTTTTTTTCCTCTCGATTTGTTTTTCTCTCTGTCCTCTCAATACAATCTCAGTATCTTATGAAATTAAATAATGTTTTTGACAGGCATGCCTTGGCCACACTGGACTCGACTCTGGAGGGAGGAACAGACGACATGGCTGTTGTGGACGCCACCTCTCTACGCAGACAGGTATTATTCTGCTGCTTAATATTGTACAGGGTTTTTAAAAAATACATGTAAAATAAGAATTTAAAAAATGAAAAACAATTTTATGTACACTACCATTCAAATGTTTTTAAAGAAGTCTCTTAGGCTTACCAAGGCTGCATTTATTTTATCAACAATAGAAAACAGTACAAAAAATTATTTGTTATATATTTATTAAATATCAATTTAATGCTTCCTTGCTGAATAAAAGTATTCATTTCTTTCAGTAAAATCTTACTGACCCCAAATTTTTCAACAGTAGTCTGTGTAATTGCGCATTACTTGACCTGAAAGATGGAGGGGTTTATTAATTTCTTTGATTTCTTGTCATTAGATTGTCAAGTTGAACCGGCGTTTGCAGCTCTTGGAGGAGGAGAACAAAGAGAGAGTCAAGCGAGAAATGATCATGTATTCCATCACTGTAGCTTTCTGGCTTATCAACAGCTGGGTTTGGTTCCGTCGCTGAAGCTACATGGACTCTGCAATGTGGGAGGGGCAAAATCAAAACTCTGCCCCTCTGTTCTATGTGTCAAACTTTAGCCGTATTTTTTTAATGGCTAAAATGTTTTATTTTCTTCACAGTAAGAGCGGTAAAGTCAGAGATAGCTTTTGTGTTGTTCTTTGGGTTTGTCTGTCTGGTTTAATTTTATTATTATAAATATGTATTTATACTTTTTTTGTTTTTTGTACAACTGTACAATTGTTCTTTTTCTTGGTTTTGTACATTTTTACTTACTTTTTTTTTGTTTCTGTTTTTTTTTTTTTTTTTTTGCGTAAGTCAAGCATGAACAAGATGTATATATTACTTCACCTGTCTTTGAGCTTTGGGTGTAATCATTTATTTTTCCATAGGTTTACTATACAAATTAGTACAATATTATGTCAACTTTTACAAAGACCAATGGAATGGAATGCACTGATATGGCATAGTCAAAAGAAAAGCATATAATATTAAATAATAAGTATATTTACAGACTGTTGTGATTTTAGGTGCATTATGTACATCTGTATGTTACTTGCATCGACATAGAAACCATACTTGTTAAGTGTGAGTTTAGTCCTGGTTATTATTTATGTACATTATTATAATATGCTGATGTTGTTATTTCTGCTCGTTTTCTGCAGGATATTACTGAAATGATACACATTCAGTTTTCCTCTCACAGAGCCATGAACATTGTATTACAAACGCATTTATTTGAATAAATGACAACAGTAGTGAACTACACTCTATCTTGTCTGCTTTTAATCTTCTGGATTTGCTTGTTTGTTTAATTTCTGAAGATTAAGTATAATTTTTGGTCTTAAGCATGACAGATTAAAAGTAAAAAAAAACAAATCTGGAAAATATGTACTACTTAGTGTTATTTTAGTATTTATTTTTATACTATTATAGTATTTATTAATATATTTTTTTAACTTTTATTTATTTTTATTTTATTTATTTATTTTTAGTGATTTAGCGATTTTGTCATTTAACTTTTTTTTTTTCCATATAGATTTAATTATCTTCATTTCAGTTTATTTGTCATAACTGTAGTATATTATATTATATGTTAGCTTATTTCAGTTAGTTGCCAAGGCAGTGTTTTTGTTTACGTTTAAGTTTTTCATCTTATATTTATATATTTTTGTCTATTTTTTTTATTTACATTTTTCATATAATAATTATGTATTATTTTATTTCAGCTTTATTTCATTTACCGAAAAAAATATATCGTTTTAATTAACAAATAACAACACTAGAACTTATATTAAGTACCATGGTCATTCATACTTTTTATATTGTACTAATAAGTAATATGTTAATTTCTTAGTTATGGGGTCCACCTTGACAAACAGCATAAACGCAGTGCTCCGGACACGTGGCGGCGCTGTGGACAGCTTCCCTCCCGCTTTCCGTCGCTCTTTCGCGGACTGCGTGGTGTCAGGTGACCAGGTCGCGGCTGTCATGGCGGCGTGCAGGGCGCTCGTGAGTCGCGCGGTATTACCTCTGCATTTCCATCATGTGTGCAGGGGAGTGATGCTCACACATATCAGAGAGAAGAAGAGATGGATGAAGGCTTACACGCTCATCATGGAAAGGAAGAGAAAGATGGAGGGACCTCCACCTCCAAAGCCACGGTCAGTAGAACATCTCAAGGCCACTTGTGATACTCTCCGGCTGTGTCTCAAATCATAGTGAGCTGCCTACCTAGACATTATATTTCGGCGTCATAGGATTTTTAGAGCATGTCTGTGTTCTTAATAAAATGCTGTCTAGGTAGGCAACACACTAGGTTTTGAATAACAGCCAGTAAATATCAATATAAACGCATTATGTATTGATCAGTGTACGGATAAATGAGATTGTTGGTGATGTTTTGTGACTTTTCTTCTCTTCATTTGTTTGTATTGTGACCACTAAACCTGCAGATGTGTTACCCCATGCATTCTAGTCGTTACTTTATCTTGTCATCTGTTCGGGGCTGAAATATTAGCACATTTTTAATAATTTCCTATCAGTTAGCCTAAAGGCTTTTTTTCTCTGAATGTAACAAAGTATACACTGCGGTAATGAGAATGCATGACTGATACTCGAAGAATTATTTATATTTTTACGTTTTAGACTAGGAGCATGTTGTTTTTGAAAGAAAAAATTTGATGGCAGTACATACAGTACTATTATTAATACTATTAATAATCGCTTTATGTATTCCCCAATTGTAAGTCGCTTTGGATAAAAGCGTCTGCAAAATGACTTAATGTAATTGGTTTGAGGAATATATATATTATAAATAATATAATATATATATGTATTTGTTATTTATTTTAATTTTAGTTACATTTTATGTCTGAATTTATTATGTCTGTATAGGTCTTTTATTAAGTTTTTAGTTTCATTTAATTTGAGTTATTTGAATACTTCAACAAACTAAATGGAAATTAAATAATATATATATATATATTTAATTTATAAATGTGTATGTATATATATAAATATATGTAGCGAATCAGCTCATGGGGAAATATGAATAATTAATCATAACTAGTTATAATGAATAATGAATATTTAGATCCGCTGTAGATATTTACTTGACCTCTCAGGGTCAACTGTCTGTCAATTCTAAGAACGT